AATGAGCTTAGGGAGGGCCGATTCGGCCTATAAAGCCTATAAAGGCATATTCGATCCGCGCCATGTATGCAAATCGTTTGTTGATATTTGGCCACCATGTGGCAAACACTCTTATAAAACGCCATGATCATTCATCTATTTATTTTACATTAAGGAGATAACTGCCGGTCATTTTCTTGGGATGATATACCACGGGTGTGATGTGTAAGATGCATACCCGCACTTCACGCGCAAGATAACGTATCGGCGATAACTTTTTCGTGCCAGGAAATGTTGCCTCAATTTGGAGGTACCTTCGGGGTAGCATTGTCCTATGCGGGCTATACTGAATGTGGTGCTTTCTATATACTCCAATGTTCGTTCTAATCAAACGCTCAAAATGTAGGTTACGTTTCCAACCAGGACAATATCCTAAACTAGGTGGTATGGCCAATGACAGGTATGGCGGAGATGTTAATAGCTCTGATTAAGTATTTACACTTAATTCTGTTCAAGCGATTCTCAATTCCTCCTGTAGCTCCTTTTTATCTCGCTGTCCTCTAAGGCTTTTTCCTGATGGTATCCGAGATATTTCATGTATCTGTACTATCCAAAGGGTCGGTGCCAATCATCCCCATCTCTACTGCCAATCATCACTGCTTACTTCAAACCCGTAAAGCTCTTTTATTCATTCTACTTATGTTTAAGGTTCGACACTTATCGAGCCAAAATTCACATTTAAATATCTTTGGAAAACTACTTTTGACTTCCTCCAACCTTTCGTGAGAAATGTGTGGTGTTTAGTGGTCGTTAATTAATGATCATTTGGAGATCATGAGATGCAGTCTGGCGAGACGTAAGCTTTAGAAAAACATTTTGTTTATCGTGCCAACGTTTCGGTCTTTTTAAATTCACTAGTTTCGTGGACCGCTTGACCAATTAATATTATACAATTAATTAAGGTTTTTAGTTGAGATAAAAAAGGCAATGGCATGAGCGGGATTCGAACCCACGATCTTCGGCTTGATACGCCGCTGCTCTGCCACTTGAGCTATCGAGACCTCGATCTACTCGGACACCAACTTCCCATCTCAACCACACCTTTTTGAATTTTCCCACCTTTTTGCCATTTTTCAAATGTCGTGTAATCAATTTGGTTCTCGGCGACAAATGATTATCTCAACTAAAAACCTTAATTAATTGTATAATATTAATTGGTCAAGCGGACCACGAAACTAGTGAATTTAATAAGTTTAAAATGAAGTATCCTTCTCCAAAGCTCTCCGTCGCCATTTCATTTGTCGCCGAGAATCAAATTGATTACACGACATTTGAAAAATGGCAAAAAGGAGGGAAAAATCGAAAAGATGTGGTTGAGATACGAAGTTGGTGTCCGAGTGGATCGAGGTCTCGATAGCTCATGTGGTAGAGCAGCGGCGTATCAAGCCGAAGATCGTGGATTCGAATCCCGCTCGTGACATTGACTTTTTTATCTCAACTAAAAACCTTAATTAATTGTTTAGATCTTAATTGACATCATCTTCAGGGCCTGGGATTTATAAACTTTGTTTGAATTTTAGAAATACATGTAGGATGTAAAAGAAACAAAAAAGAATTTGTACAATGCCAGAAATCTTAGATTCATTCCAAGTATTTGTACTCACTTGAAGTGTTTGTTTTCTGTGTAGACATGTCATTCGTGTGCGTCGTGTTGAGAGTGCCAGTGATATATTGATGTTTTATGTCTATATACGTTGGATTATGAAGGGGTGGGGAAGGAAGTAGGGATAAAAAGACATTTTTATATGAGGAGTCGGCTTCTGTGAGGTGAAAGGAGCCGACAATGGGAAAAAATGGGTAATGGTTGGCAGGATTATCCTTTCAGGATTATATAGACGGGGATAATTAGGGAAAGGAAAGCCAAATTGTTGAAGAATTAGACTATGTAGAAATGTTTGATGTGTGGTGATGATTATTTTATATGTTATATTATATGTTTTGTGTGATGTGATGATGATATATGTATGCTATCGATATTGAATTTGATTAATGATATTGGCGTAGCTGCGACTGAGTTTACATGTGTTTGTTCTGTAATTAATGCTGTGTTTATCCCTGTCGATGAAAACTATTTCTAAAGAGTTACGTTTATGTTTGTTTTCTTCTGTGTGTAATATTTTTAGATTATTGAAGTCGAAATTGTGGTTGTGTTGAAAATGGTGGATAGCTAGTGCTGTAGGATTTTGCTTGGGTTTTTTTACAATCATAGATATGTTGTTTTACTCCGTTATACAGATATTGGGATGTAATACCGATGTAAGTTGCCGGAAATTTAAACAATTGATTTTATAAATTACGTCAGAATTTTTGTTACTGGTGTGGGATCTTTAATTTTGGGAAAAAGTGTGTGAATTGTTTTATAGTTTTTGAAAGCTATTTTAAAGTTTTCGGAAAAGAGAACTGTTTAATTTATGTGATAGGCCGTGAATGAATGGCACATAATTGTATGTTGGTCTGTCTGTACTTGATAGATTTGATGTAGTATTATTAGTAATACTGGATGGGCTCAACACTAACACCATCCACTATTACTGTATGTATGTAAAATGTAGTTGCGTGAAATTATAAATATTACAAACTATAGATTACATTACTGTTTTCTACATTACCAAAAGAAATATAGTACGCTTTTTTAATGTTAATCAACAAGAGGAGAACGTAGAACAAACACAAACTACAGGACGTAGGATTTTAATGGAACTATTTCGTTGATACAAGATCGACGTAATTAAGCTCGTCTCTGAGCTTCTCTGATAGGTGCCAATAAAAATGTTTTAAGCAACTGAAATATTTTTAAATATATTAAACATTTTCTTAACTGAACATGTACTTAAACGACTTTTACTTTAACATAGGCTAGAGTTTACATGTGTCTGTTCTGCAGTTGATGCTGTGTTTATCTCTGTTGATGTAAACCATTTCTAAAAAGTTACTTCTGTTTTGTTCTGTGTATAATATTTTTGGATTGTTGAAATCGAAATTGTGTTGGTGTTCAAAATGGTGGGTAGCGAGAGCTGTAGGATTTTGTTTGGGCATTTTTGCAATCATAGATATGTTGCTTACACTCTCTTATCCAGATTTTGGGATGTATTACCGATGTAAGTTGCCGGACAATTTACATAATTGATTTTGTAAATTACGTCAGATAAATATACCTTTAATTTTGTAAAAAGTGTGTGAATTGTTTTATAATTTTTGAGTTTTTTTACGTGAGAACATGGGTCAAGTTTTAAATTGTCCATATAAAGTGATTCAATAAGGAAAAGCATCTAATATTATTATAATAGTAGTATTCATCAGTAATACTCCATGCTTCCTCAAGCAGGACTAAGTCGTCTGTACACAGTGGCATTTTTGCGAGCGTTTCCCCCGTTTGAAATACCTCCTTTCGTACAGATCAACAAGGACAGAGAAAATAATAATATGAAAAACTCTGCACTGCCTCAGGCGTAAACGTGTTTAATCAAACTTGTCAGCTTAAAGATAAAAACCACCATGGAGGAAAAGTTTATAAACTTTGATTGACTTTCATGAATTAAATTGTTTTCAGAACCAAATTACACTAGGCGGGTATAAAGAAGGCTATATATTTAGCTTATGCAGATATTATGCCCTAATTATACAATAAAATGTTATTTATATTAACATTTTGTAATAATTTTTTCTTCTTTAAAAAAAAGAAGTTAAAATATTTGACTGTTTTTCCTGTTGAATTATTAAACTTAATTTAACTTAAAAAGTTTAAATCATTATAGGACCACCTTTACACATTATTTTCCGTGAAGACAACCTCTTTAACTTTAGCATTTGCCATGTTTTTCTCGTAGAAACGTTAAACTATGCTATTATTATTTTTTCTTTTTGATCAAATATTCCCATTTCCAATCTAATATCGCACAACGAAAAGAAGAATAAGAATGAAACGCCGGTTACAATTCAATTAATTTTCAGATCTTATTCATCGCTATTCAAGGTAAGAAGTCATAGCCATTCCTTAAAATTGTAGCAATAATAGGCCTCCGTGTGTTAAGCCGAATTAACCAAGTTCACTTCATGAAAACTTGGACGACTGAAAACTACTTAATATTAAGAACAAGACCTTATGATAGGAAAGGGGGTTCAACTGGGAAACAAATGGGCCAACGCATTGAAACTTTGACTTGTTAATATTGAACTTAATGGAACTTAACTAGGAAATACGAGGAAGCTTGCCAGATTCACATTTAAAGACATTTCGCCACAGACTAAAGAACTAACAACGAAATATTTTGTGTGACATCATTCTTAATGTGTTATTTATATATGTACGATTGTTTAAAGATATTAAATTTTAAAATTTAATGTAATGAGTGTAAAACGGAGTTAACAGACCTTTCAATTCTAAACCGCTCTCTTCTCTCTCACGCTCTCTCTCTCCCTCTCTCCTCAGTTTTCGTGGTCCGCTTGTTCAATTAATATCTTTCAATTAATTAACCCCACCTTTTGTATTTTCCTTCCTTTTTGCCATTTTTCAGATGGGTTACCAGGTTGAGATGGGAAGTTAGTGGCCGAGTGGATCGAGGTCACGATAGTTCAAGTGGTAGAGCAGCGGCGTATCTAGCCGAGAACGTGGGTTCGAATCCCGCCCCTGGCACTGACGTTTTATCTTCACTAAAACCTTAATTAATTGGAAGATATTAATTGATTAAGCGGACCACGAAAACTGGTGGATTTAATCTGTTTATTTATTTCATTCTCTTTATTTTCATTCAATTATTATCCTAATTTATAAATCTGTAATTAATATTAATGTGCACTTTTGCTTAGACAAAAGTTTGTTATTTGATAGAACACGTATCACGTCGGTGGAGAAAGGTGGCAGACATTGACAAATCACCTGCCTGGAATACGGCTCAATTTTACCATTAACCTCGTTTGCCTCATAATTTGTTTTTCTTTCCTTGACTTCTTTTGTATTCCAGGTGCGATCTCACCTCTGCGAGTGACTACGTCGAGTTTTCCAATTTTATGGGTCGAGACGACAAGCATGGCCGATACTGTGGCCAGATTAAGTCTGGTTTTACGATAGATTCGGATAGGAAATTCTTCAGAGTCACCTTTAGGTCCAACGACCGTCTCGACGGTACAGGGTTTAACGCCAGCTATCAGTTCCTTGAACAGCCCTTATCGCCGACTGCAGCAAAACCGACGAATGCCTCCCCACACAGTAAGTTTCGCATATTACAATATACAAAAATCCCTGAAATAAGCCCTACTTCAAAAATGAATGACAAACAAATCATCTTAAAAGATATAATGAAGTTTTAACAATTTTCTATACAATTGTAATTTACAAATATGAGTAATTATTATATAAAAATATTGTATTGTATGATATAATAATTCGAAAGTCATTTTTGCGTTTATTGCTGTGGTTTATATGGATTTAAATCTATCGTAACTTAAACATTAAACAATTAAAAACATCTCTCTGTCTCACTCTCTCTTTCTTTCTCTCACTTACTCTCTCTCTCTCTCTCACTTTTACTCTCTGTCTTTCTCTCCCTCTCTCTCACTCCCTCTCTCTCACCCTCTCTCTCTCTCACTCTTTCTCTCTCTCTTACTCTCTCTCCTTCTCTCTCCCACCCTATCTCTCACTTATTCTCTCGCTCTCTCTCTCTTTCTCTTTCTCTTGCTCTCCCTTCTCTCTCTCTCCCTCCATATCTCTCTCTCTTATTCTCTCTCTCTTCTCTCTCCCACTCTTTTTCTCTCTCTCTTACTTTCTCTTCTCTCTCTCTCTCTCTCTTTATCTCTCCTTCTCTTAATCTCTCTTCTCTCTCACCTGCCCTCTCACTCTTTCTCTCTCCTCTCTCTCACTTTTTCTCTCTCTCTCATTCTCTCTCCTCTCCCTCTCCCACCCTTTCTCTCTCTTATTCTTTCTCTCCTTCTTTTTCTCTCTCCTTCTCTCTCTCCCACCCTATCTATCTCTTATTCTCTTGCTCTCTCTCTCTCTTTCTCTTTCTCTAACTCTCTCTTATCTCTCACTCTTCCTCTCTTTCTCATTCTCTCTTATTCTCTTTCTCTCTCTAACTGTCTCTTCTCTCTCACTCTTTCTCTCTTTCTCCTTCTCTCTCTTATTCTCTCTCTCTTTCTCTCTCGCCCTCTTACTCTCTCACTCTCTCTCTCTCTCTCTCTTACTCTATCTTCTCTCTCTCTCTCTTTATCTATGTACCATGTATCTATCTATCCATCCATTTATCTATATAGAAAAGTGTTTTTTGTTTATAAGCCATCATAAACTTGTCTCAGTCTGCCACGTGTTATTTTCATATTCAGCTTTCGTTATTTGAGTTCAATACAATGTACTCGATGGATGAGAATGTATGGAGGGTGAAATCGTTTTATGGGGTTAATTACCTTGGAATAAAAGTGTTCCACGAACAACATCCTCCGAACCAATTTAACTGGAAATTTTGAGTTTTCAAGAAACGGGAACTGTTCAGCATGTTTGTCCAGTTAGTAGATTGGTGGGATAACGTTGAAGACAAAAATGTATTATTTATGAATACATTTTATACTTGACTGGTCTTTTATTGCTGTTCGCAACAGCAGAGGTCATATAAACCCTCATGGTGCCGGTGTTTTTGAAAAAAAAAAACATTAGTAAGTATGTCGGGTTCGAATGCAGGGCCGCTGGATCCGAACCCGGGACCTTTACCTTACAGTGATGAGCGCCGTGTCAAAGAGTAAACCTTGCGGCCACCGACGCCCCCCTATTGCTGTTTCTAATATAAGAATTAAGGATGGCAAAATACTACTTATAATACTTCACCCCTCAGCCAATGCACCCTACAGGAAGTAAAAACCATAACAATATTAATTAAAAAAATTGTATTGGTTTACAAAACACCAGAAATTATAACAAACCCCTCAAAATATTTTCCAGGTTACATCTGGGCGCTGAAGGGTTAAGAGAGAACATGGTCTGTTTTGATCGTGGAACTAGAGAAAGGTTTTTACAATTATTGCAGAAAAATAAATAATTGATGCTGCGGCTGGTAATGAAATTGATTACCAACACGACTGGTTCCCTACTCATAACTATAACCTTATATTAACTTATATCACGAACACGTTCAACAGAAAATAATAGCGAACCGTGGACCACGTTTTAAATGGCCAGCTACTATTCCATGATAGGACGGGTTGTTGGGTTGGCGCAGAAGGAAATTTGTTCAAAAACCTCATTTAAATTGATAAATGAACTCCTCGTGGGTAACAGACTCATTTAAGTATAAGTTTAAGGGACATAAAAGTAGATTAAATCGCGGTTTAATATCGTAAATTAACTATATTTTTGTTTTCATTTTTGTTATACCGAAAATTTTTATTTAATTTACCATTGGCCTATTCTTTATAAAAAAAATACAAAATATAGCTAATTTAACAGTTCTCGCTGTTTTATGTTGCACTAAAAAATAACACCTCTCCGCACTCATTTTTTGCTCTTTCGTTATAGACATACATATTTGTTTTAATTCTATGCTCTAATTTGTTCACATAAAGAAAACTTTCTCACCATAACACAGTCTTCATAAAATGTTTATTGGAAAACTAGATAATTACGGCAATTTTATCCCCAACGGGCCATTTCAGTTGTAGGCCAAACAAGAATCTCATCGCAGAAGCCGGATAAATTAAGACGGTAATGCCACACCCTCGATGAGGGCTCTAATTAATCCGACTTAACTGTTAAGGCACATGATAAATGTATAATGGATTAAACTGAGAACATAGATAAGAAATGCTTACTGAGCACTAAGGTAAATATACGCGAAGTCGTACGACTTTATATGTTTCAAATAAATCTCAAAATTTCAGAATAACTCCCATTTATATGTGTTTGGCTATGACTGTTGTAAATGAATGTCATTTTGTTAATCTAATAAAATTCAGTTTGCTAAAACTGTACATTTCTGCCACGTTCGAGAGAAAAAATTCCTATATGTTTGAAAGTTAAACCTCCAAAGTTCAGGACGTTAAGTTCGAACATATATCAATTTTATAGTTCCTAAAGTTTTCCCCTTTTTTATATGATTGAACTATTTATTTAAAATTATGATAGTAAAGAAAAACTACTCCTAATTTTGTGCATTCAATGTTGAAATATTTTTACGTTTTGCTCGTTCACTTACCTACCATCTTTTCTGCGTTTATATAATTTTCGAGCTGCCATGAAATAAGAGACAATCAGGAGAGTTAAAAGACATTTTTTAATGAGTCTTGTTAAAATAATTTTGTTGTATTTTAACATATTTACCTGATCAGAAATATCAAGTATCAATAAGAAAGGTAAAAGATGAATAATTTGCAGGGTGTTTTTTAATGTACTGAGTGACTATAATTAATTACTGAGGATGGAGAAGTCTCGATGAATATGGAGTACTCCGACTCACTACGAATGAATTCTAGTGAGTGAGTGTAATCTATTTGTCTGAATAAAAGTTTTTTCCCCTAGTTATTCCGAAAATACCGAATACTCTGAGGCAGAACGCATAAAGTCTAGGGAGTGACTGTAATTTATTAGCGTGATTAGAATGGCTTTTTATTAACTAAACCGAGTAATATCGAGTACTCTTGTAGAGTTTGGACGAACTCTTGCGTAAAAATGTAATTATTTGCGTGATTAGAAAGGCTTTTTCCCCTATCACTAGTAGCACTACTTCTAATATTCGGTGTACGAATGAAAGCGATTTTTCTGGTGTGACTGTATTTATTTGTTTCAATATAAAAATAGAACGATAAAGATAATAAGATAATAATGGTAATAAAAATAATATTAGCTGCACCGTATTGAATGAATGTACAATAATTGATTAATGTTAAAGGAAGCGCACGGAGGAATATCGCCTACTCTGAGGCAATGTGAATGAAGTCTACTGAGTAAATAGGAATAATTTATTAGAGAAAATAGTGGTTATTTTTCTTAACTCGAGAAATATCAAGTACTCAGGGCACGAATAAAAAAAAAGTTTTCTGAATTACTGAATTTATTTAAACGATTAGGTTCCTTTTCGGCATACAACTGAAGTATACTTCATTTTGCTTATTAAATTCTTTTCAATTAATTAATCTTTAAGTAAGGCATCCCGCTTGTGACACTGACTTTTTTATTCCAACCAGTACATTACTTCAAGATTAATTAATTGAAAAGAATTTATTTTGTCAATCGGACCACGAAACCTAATAGATTTAATAAGCAAAATGTAATATAGTTCACTAAAGCTCTCCGTGCCCATTTCATTTGTCGCCTAGAATCGCATAGATTACACGACATTTGAAAAATGGCAAAAAGGAGGGAAAATTCAAAAGGTGGGGTTGAGATGGGAAGTTTGTGTCCGAGTGGATCGAGGTCACGATAGCTCAAGTGATAGAGCAGCAGCGTATTTAGCCGAAGATAGAGGGTTCGAATCCCGCTCGTGCCATTGACTTTTTTATCTCAACCAATACCTTACTTAAAGATTAATTAATTGAAAATGTATTTATTTTTTTAAATTTTTTTGCCGTAAATGAAAGGGTAAATGAGAACAACTTATTATACATAGAAGTGTAATGGGCAAATATAATTTTTTAATGGGGAAATAAAGATCCCGAAAATTATTGAACACTATTATACAGTGTGAATGAATTCTGGTGGGCGCATGTAATTTATTAGCGTGAACGAAGAGGATTCCTTTTTAGAATGTATATATTTTATTATGTATAACTTATTTACTGTAGATTTTTATGTTTTGTTTTAATTATTTTAATTAATACTGTCCATCCCAGTTTAGGCTTTTTCGTTTCTATGAATTATTGTAAATTTAAACAGTTTCATGTTTTAAAGTTTTCGACTCAAATGGTTGAATTGCCTTTATATATATTATATAAAAAAAAAGTTTTTGTAAAATATAATTTAAAAACATAATAATAGAAAATCACGTTATAAAAAACTGATCATATAACTCTACAAAACTAGTATTATCTCACTACATATTTTTGAAATTAGTTTTCGTGAATGGATTCATTCAATTTTTTTTACAAGGGCATTGCAGAAGAGCTCAAAAATAACCTTTTCGAATGCTCAATTTTACATTCAATAATCATTATTTCACATGATGAAAACAGCAATTTTATAATTTTCACATTAAAACCGTACAATACAATTTATTATTGAAATGTATTAAT